ATTAACAGTTTCTAATGAATCACATCTAAGGAATCAGAGGAAACTACCGCAGGCCACATCGCCAGCCAAAGCTCACAAACTGACGAAAGCTCAACACTTGGGCAATTTGACATTTTCACGCACCAAATGTGAACTTAATTTTAACGTTTCAACAGAGGGATCACGGAGGTTAAATGATTATTTCAGCTTTGGACCAGGACTTAGTAAATCCAGCCTTGCCTGAGCGTATTAAACCAAACTATACAAACACCTGCAGATCTTCTGGGTCCAGACCCGCTGCTGACTCACACTACTCGACACATTTTTCTCCCAGCTTTGACACAACAAATAAAAACAACGTGCAGGTAGCGGTGTCAGAAAGACACATTCCCTTTATTATGCTAAGACAGTAAAATAACAAGCAGATTGTCACATGAAAAAGTGACTTTGTTTATGCAGCAAGTAGCTGCAAAGCAATATAGGGAAAATGGTACCTTCTTGGGAACACTTCTGATCTCCAGACACCAGGTGAGCAAAAACAGGAGAGAAACATTCTGTGGGATGTAGGGTGGCACCTGGGCACCTTTAAGAGGGGAAGAAGGAAAATTAAAAGGATGAGCTTAATGGGGTCCATATTGTGTGTTATTTCAAGAATGTACCAGTTGTAGTATTACCTTTTTTCTTAGTGTCTTTTTGCAGCGAAATATTGACATGGTGGTTCCTTTGGCTGTCAAGGCCCAGCCTGTGGAGCATGTGGTCCACGTCTGCGGCCCTGTTTGGGCAGAACACATCAAAGGAATCCCCTGGTTGATAAGCCAACACTGGGTAAGCCTGAGAATGGAAAAAAAAGAAACTTACAACACTGAACTTGCAATCTAAACCTTTACTGGGGGTTAATTAAAGCTTCATTTAAATGAGCATCTTTTCTCATGCTTACAGAGATCTCCAGTTCCAGGAGAAGTGCTGTCTTGACTGCATCTCCACTGGTCAGTTGAACTGCCTTGGATATAGGCACCTGATGAGGAGCCTCTTTGTTTAATGGCCCCACAATCTAAAGAAAAATATAAATAAAAAATTAGTGGCCAGTGAAGGAGGAAACATGGGCTAAATCCAAGTTCTAGCAGCAAGAACATCCATCACCTCTTCCATAGTGTCCACCTCCTGAAGAGAAACATCTAGATAGGTAGGAGGCAGAGCAGGAACATTGAGCGAGGACTCAGACAGGGGTGGCACGGAGCATGACAGTGAGTGTGCCAGTGCAACGTGGGGAACTCCAGTTTCCTCTGTGTGTGTTTTTGATGCTGATGTGGAAACACTGGCAGCGTCACCAGACTGGGATGCCAACCCAGGGCTCCCCGCAGGAGAAGCTGGCTTGAGATCAGAAGCGGCAGAAACTGAAGATGAAGCAACAGATGCAAATTTGGAGTCCGCGGGTACAGATGCTCTGACTGACTCGCAGTTCTGCTGGTCAGCGATGCTTAAGAGGTTCAGTTGGACATCTGGAACTGATGAATCTGGAGTTTCTTTGGTTGAATCCTCTGGGCTCTCTTTCAAGTGAGCTGTCCCAACAGAAGCCATTTTTGATAAGGATTCTTTGATAGCTTTCCACAGTCCCCCAAGCCAGGGATCCACAACCAACTCCAGCCTAGAGAGAACAAAGTTCACAAATGACAGCAGCATAAACAAAAGAAAACAAATATGGGTTTAATGTGTCTGCATGTGCTCTGAAAGTTGGATGTTTACATTTTCTTTCTCTGCAAAACTTACCCTATACCATCATCTGCATAACCCGTAGCATAGAATTGCTTGGCTCCGAGTTCTTGTAGACGGCGCTCAATGGTCTTGCCACAGTTGCAGAAATTTGCATAATTTGTGTCTCCTAAAGCTGGAGCAGACAGAGGGAAACAGATTGAGACTCTCCAGCAACTGTTCAGAAAGTAAACAGCGCAATGCTCTGCATCGTGATGATATATACAAACATGTTTTTCAAATTAAACTCCCATACGGACAGATGAGCTACAAGGAGCGCTACCACAGACCCTTATAAAAGAATTTACCTAAAAGTGCATAAGAAAGGTGCTTATAGTGGTCAGTGGAGAGGGTCTTCCTCTTGATGTGCTTTACAAATTTTAAGGCATTATCCGGCGGTTCCCCATCTCCAGTAGTAGAAACAATAAAGACCACTGGGGCACTCTCCTTCTCCAAATTGTACTGGAACCAGTTATGTGAATGACGAGAGAAACACAACCATCAGTCAGCATCATATTTATTAAAATGTTGTTGATGTGTTGTTTGGTATCATTTTTCTTATATTAAACTTTTTTAAACTATCGCTGAACTGAGGGCGACTTGGTAAATATTTTACTTTATACAGATATGTACTTCACCTAAAGTGATTGTATTTGTTTTATTGACATATTTATGTTGTTAATTGTTGTTGATATTTATGCTTTTATGGTGTTAGAGCCTTCATGTGTTAATCTTTTTCTACCATTCCCAAACTGGTGCCTTTATGGTAAAAATTCCCTTTATACAGATGCTAATAAAGCAAGGAAGAAAGGGACAATATCTTCATTATTTGGGAAAAGTACATCACAACACACGACTAAGATCGCTACATAAATGAAAACTAGAATGTACCTTCTCGTTCTCATTCAAGCAGCTGAGATCTGCAACCAGCCCGTGCTCCTCCGCCTCCTCGGCTATCCCTTCTGCTATGGACTGGGCTTGGCCCTTCTGAGACCCATACAGGACCACAAACCGAGGCTTCACTTCACAGGGCATGCTAGAAAATCCATACAGAAACGAGGTCATTTGTGCACTGTGTTTATAACTACATGACATTTTATAATTAACAATTTTCACAGTAGACCATGGCTGCTCTGATCGTGTGTCTCAGCAAGGACTTAGTGCACACAACCAGGAGGCTAATGCTGATTCATTTTTATGTTTACAAACTTGCTATGTCCACTCAGGTGTGAGGGGCTGTCAACGCAAGCATGATGCCAAAATTATGTAAAACAAAGATGAAGCAACAGATGCAAATATATCATTACTCATACATAGTACTAAGAAGTCGATTTGCTAGGTTAACAAAAAGACTGCTTACCTATGTTACCACAGCGTACAAAGGAAATCAAAGGACGTGTTTGTAGACCGGCTCTAACTGCATATCTAGCGTATTAATGTAGTTCTGATCACAAACATTTGTGCTTGTAATCTGTGGTAAACATACAGAGGCGCATACAGTAATTTCAAAGATACATCAACACATAGATGGACTTAGTGGACATGACAGTGACCGTAATATTTTGGGTTTTTTTAAAGGAAAGAAAAACAGGTAGTCTTTACAGGTGTTTTGGCTTACCAACATGCGTGAACATTTGACAGGTGACAGACAGACTGCCACAGAACAACCTTCGTAGCTTTCGCAGCCCTGGACACCACCATCAAGTAACCGGACGTTACGTCATTTCTTGACGTTTAGAGAAGTTACCATAATAGTGCGCGTGGGTATTAGCGTGCTGTTTCATACGTTTCATGCATTTCCGTGAAAAGCAGCGGATTTACATTGATAGCAAAGTTACAAGTTTCGCTAAAAGTTAGTTAGAGGCGACAGCTAACAACTTAATTCTGACACATCGCATTTAGGTCACGTTGTCAAAGTATAAGTCCCGTCTTTAAAACACGAATCTTTGTGAAATATGCTTATATGGAATTAAAATCAGATATATGTAGTGTATTCAGTTCTCTGTGGGTGTTTACCTTTACAAAAGTGCGGTGAAAATCATACAGTAATATGTCCTGCCCTTCCCATGGAATTTTATAATATTGTCACTGCAATTCACGCGAGACCAGGTCACAGACTGAGATTGAACGAGATCGGGCGAAACCATATTGTAAAAAAGTGTCTTTTTACTTTAATTCTTACAATATTCTAAGTGTGATGAGGCGATAATTTATTAATTTTTTAGAATATGTATAAACTTTTTAAATTTCTTATTGCTATCTTATAAAGAAAGAGATTACAACTATGTTATAGGATACACTGAGCAGTACTTGGTTCCGCCCTCTCCGCCCGCGGAGCCTTCCAGAAGTCGCCGGCGGACCCGTGCGGCTCACAGCTTAGTCACACTCCAGATTTCTATTATTAAAACTCATTATTTCATTCTTTATATACTTAATACGTGACCCAATCCCTCCGTCAACATGTCCACTTTGGGGACACTGGCTTTCGATGAGTATGGAAGGCCTTTTATCATCATTAAAGACCAGGATAAGAAGACACGGTTAACGGGCATTGACGCATTGAAGGTACAATGGGCTAGCAAGCGCTACACAGCTTTTCGTTAGAAAGCTGCTGTTTTATAGTTAATTTAGTGAGTTGGGTATACAGATCTCGTATGACAGGTGGATTGCGATTACTAAGCACAGGTTCATCATGTAATCTTAAGTTGTTTGTGCAAGAGCATCTCTATAGCATTAGCCAAATAACTAGCCAGTCATGCTAATGGTGGGGCCCATGTGCTTTCTGTAATGCGTTTAGCCGGTAGGAGCTGCTGACAGGGCTGTGCCCACTTCTCTCATCGGTGATGCACAGAATTTTAGGTTTGGGGTTTTTCAGGCAAAGGGAAGTTCTACCTATCTTTGGAATAAAATAAAAACGTGTGCATGACTCGGAAATGTTTCTATTTTGCAGTCTCATATTATGGCAGCCAAGGCAGTCGCGTCAACGCTTAAAACGTCTTTGGGACCAAATGGTAAGTCTGAACCAGTGTAGTGTTGTCATACCAAACTGTCCAAACGGTTTGTCATTTTGAAAGTGAAGCCTTTGTGTTTGAAACTATATGTCATTATTCCTTTTCGTGAATTAGAGTTGGCCGTTAGAATACCGATTTTTAACACTTATTTCTCCTGTGCCTTTTTTTTTCTTTTTACTTTTTCCATGCAGGTCTTGATAAAATGATGGTTGACAGAGATGGAGAGGTAACTGTCACCAACGATGGCGCCACCATTCTCAGCATGATGGATGTGGACCACCAGATTGCCAAGCTTATGGTGGAGCTGTCAAAGTCCCAAGATGATGAGATTGGTGATGGAACCACTGGAGTTGTAGGTATGGAAAAGGAAGATGAGGATGTTTTTTTTTGTTTTGTTTTTTAAATAAAAAAAGAAATACAGACTTGGGACTACTTGGGAGAAGTTCTGATGCTCTCAATGTAGACTCTTCCATCGTATGAGGGAACTTTTATCTAAACTATGGTTGTAGATTGATTAGATTTTGCATTTGCATCTTCTCTGTTGCCCTCAGTTCTGGCCGGAGCTCTGCTGGAACAGGCTGAGCAGCTGCTGGACCGTGGAATCCATCCCATCAGGATCTCTGACGGTTACGACCAGGCCGCACGTATTGCCACCGAGCAGTTGGACAAAATTGCTGAAACCTTCCCCTACGATCCCAACAATACAGAACCTCTCGTTCAAACAGCCATGACAACACTGGGATCCAAAGTGTAAGTCCCCCATACAAAATATTGTTGGGTTATTTCTTTTTGTTTATTAGTGTTATTTTTACTATTATGTAATTATGTTTTATGTTTCCTCTGCTTGTCTACATTTCCAAATGCTCTTTTGACCTAGCTGGCACGTCTTTTTCTACATTGTCATAGAGCAGATAATAACAACTGTCAGTAGAGAAATTTCCTGATTGTTATTCTGTTTTTGAGTTAAGGAAGGGAAAAGATGTTTCAATACATTTTGTATAACAAAATCTCTAAAGTTCTTCCAGCATGGATGCAGAAATATATTTGTTCATTTTAAATGAACCTGCACTTGTGTTTCTGTCAGAACTGACACAGACTTATCATCATGCAACAAATGCAAAACCTTTTTTCAGTGATTTTGCAATAGCATTGTTACCACGCTTTATCTAAAGTTCTGTTTGTCTTTCAGCATCAACCGGTGCCACAGACAGATGGCAGAGATTGCAGTGAATGCCATCCTCACTGTGGCCGATATGGAGAGGAAGGATGTCGACTTCGAGCTCATCAAGATGGAAGGCAAGGTCGGAGGAAAGCTGGAGGACACACAGCTCATCAAGGGAGTCATAGTCGACAAAGAGTTCAGCCACCCCCAGATGCCCAAGGTATGATCGATGGGAATTTGTAACACGATGTCATTGGCTGTCTGGTGTTTGATCAAAAAGAATCAAATCAGTTTAAAGTTTCTGGGGCAAAATAAATGTTTCTGTTCTGACCTCCATTTGTAAAATTTGATTAACAGCTTGTCCTTTGTTATTTCACAGGTTCTGAAAGATGTTAAAATTGCCATTCTTACCTGCCCGTTTGAGCCTCCTAAGCCCAAGACCAAGCATAAGCTGGATGTGACTTCTGTGGAAGACTACAAAGCTCTCCAGAAATATGAAAAAGAGAAATTTGAGGAGATGATCCAACAGGTTGGTACCTTCAGAGTCTGTTAACAACTGATGTTTAACCATTTCATTTATTGACTGATTAACATAGAAATCGCAGCCGCAAATAAGTATACACATATCGGCACACATGCTTATGGACACGTTTATTTTAGGTCAAAAGTAATGGGGCTAACTTGGCCATCTGCCAGTGGGGCTTTGATGATGAAGCCAACCATCTTCTGCTGCAAAATGACCTGCCTGCTGTGCGTTGGGTTGGAGGGCCTGAGATTGAGGTAAGACGAGATGCAAAATTACTCTTTAATCAAACACTTTTTTTTGTCCTTTGTCACTTTGATCAGTCAGGTATTTGCAACTTTTTGCCATATGTTACATCAAGTACAAAATATAAAGTGGAGTTTATGTTGAAGTGTCGATATCAATTGTTTGTCTGCAGTTGATAGCAATAGCTACAGGAGGCCGCATTGTCCCGAGGTTCTGTGAGCTGACACCGGAGAAGCTCGGCACAGCTGGTTTGGTGAAGGAGATCTCCTTTGGCACTACCAAGGATCACATGTTGGTTATCATGGAGTGCAAAAACACCAGAGCTGTGACCATTTTCATCCGTGGAGGCAACAAGATGGTGAGCCCAAAAGCAAATTCATAATTACATGTTTTGTTTTGTTTTTAATTATTATTCCAGTTTGATTAAGTGTCATCTTTCTTGATAGATCATCGAGGAGGCTAAGCGTGCTCTCCATGATGCTCTGTGCGTAATCCGCAATTTGGTCAAGGACAACAGAGTCGTGTACGGAGGTGGTGCTTCAGAGATCGCATGTGCCCTAGCTGTCAACCAGGCTGCAGACAAAGTAAGAGAAATTGCATCAGAGACTTTCTGACCTTAGCATTTACGATAAACATGATTGTGTTCCTGCTCGACTCTCATTGATATCTGTCAATTTCCTTTTCAGTGCCCGTCATTGGAACAGTATGCCATGAGGGCTTTTGCTGATGCTTTAGAGGTAATCCCAATGGCCCTGGCTGAGAACAGCGGGCTGAACCCCATCCAGACCATGACAGAGGTCAGAGCCAAACAAGTCAGAGAGAACAACCCATTCCTGGGCATTGACTGTTTACACAAAAACACCAATGGTAAGCAACCACCTGCACTGCACATAATACACTGCAGTAGATACTGAACTAACCATGGCTTCAGTCTGGATTACCACCTTTGGAGATGACAGCACTGCACTTCAATGTTAAAGCACAATGATTTATTGAATTCTTTTTT